TTTATTACACTTTAAAATATCAGTTTTCTATTTTAATTTATTGGAAGTGGTCATTTATTCCTCTGATGGCAAAGGTTGAATTTTCAGCATCATTACTCCAGTCATCAGTGATACTTTAGAAATCATTAAAATGTTAAAAACGCTGCGTGCTGTTTAATATTTCTAAAAAAAAAAAAAACATGATACATTTTTTTTCTATATTGTTTGATGAATAGAAATAACAGCATTTATTTTGAGCATAAATCTTTTCAGTTTTTATTCAATGCAACCTTGCGCCCCAAACTTTTGAACGGTTGTGTTTTATCAGTGTACTGATTTTCACAATACAATCATTGGGCAAAATGATCACATTAATGATGCAAAGCTCCATATAGATACATCATCCAACATTTTGATTAATGTTTAACCACAAAACTGTGGTTGATTTCTCAGTTCTTATTTCTTCCTCTGGATCCTATTGGGATCCGCAGACTCCAGTTTGAAAACACTTGTGTTAGGTGTGAGAGCCGGTGAAGTCAATGGAAACAGTGGAACTACTTGCTGTAGATCGTGCAACACTTTATTAAAACTTCACTCTCAAGGCATGACTGGCTTGCGTAATGGAGTAGGGGGGTGTGGGGGAATTTCAGGGTGTTACTAATCCTATGCTTTGGCTATGAGCCCATGGAAAGACAGCATCTCTATTTTCCCAGCATGTTCTTAAACTAAACTCATCCCTCCATGTTTTCCAAAGCAACATGACATTTTTCTGACCAAACAACCAATCAAGTCCATGTATCCATATTAAATCTGGAAATTTTAGGTTACACATGAGCAGTTCATATTCCAATATAAAACTGACTTTTAAAGCAAAGCTCAAAAAGGATTTGTGTTAATGATTAGGTTTTAATTAGTTTGTATAGGTTAAATATGCTTTCGGGAGGTCTTGCTGGTGTTTCAAGGTCACTTACAGGCTCGTAAACTCCTTGTGCCTCTGGGATTTTTCCAGCAGTAGAATAAAGAAAGTCACCTTGTAGCATGCATCGTCCTCTCCTGGACACAGTTTGAATAGGGCACTTGGACATTATGTTCTCTTTAATGCTCAAAACTGCTTCGTGTGACCTTTTGTAGCCTTATGTAACCCTTTAAACACAGGGTAGCCTGAGAGAGACATATGATGTGAATGTCTTCTATCAACATGAATGCTGCATGTGCAAAAACTTTTGGATCATTTGACATATCCGGACAGCTGTATAGTTTAAAAAGTCTACCTTTTATAAGATGGGTCCACATTATCAGGAACTTCTGGTGAACATCAGGGTGATCTGTGTTGATTCAAGACCCCAGTTCAGTCTGTACTTCCTCTGAAGCAGTTAAAACAGTTTGTCTTCCTGTTTGACCTCACAGAACTCCCATATCCTCTTACTTCCCTACAGGAAAACAGAAACTAAATTATCATCTATTGTGCCTTGAATTAAAGGAACTTTCCTAATTCAGTTTAAAAGTTAAAGTCAATTTACAGTGTTTGTGGCATAAGTCTGACTATACCGCGGGAAAAAAAAAAAAAAAAGAAGAGAGATATCTTGGCAGATGCACTCGCTCTTTCACAGGTGACCCCTGATGGAAAACTATGTCTGCTCAGTCAGACATACCCAGTGATAGAATCAAGTGTGACAAATGTGATCTCTTTAGCTGCAATGGGAAATAATGGAGATTTTAGCTGAGGTATTCTGCTTTTCTGATTTTTCTCCTGTAAAACCATGTGCCAATAATCTCACATGAGTAGTTTCTTTGGCGTCTTTTTTTATTTCTAGATAATTTTAGAAATATTGGAGACAAAGTTGGAACCTAAAGGGTTTGTTCACGAAGAAGGACATTTCTGTCAGTAATTATTCACTCTCAAGTCGTTTCAAAGATGACCTTCATTCATCTTTGGAACACAAATTAAGATATTTTGATGAAAACCGAGAGCTTTCTGACCCCCTAGACAGCAATGTTATTACCACTTTAAAGGCCCAGAAAGGTAGTAAAGAATTCGTTAAAATGTGATTACAGTGGTTCAGCCTTATTGTTATGCAGCGTGGAAAAAACTTTTTGTGCTCAAAAAACAAAATAACTTTATTCAACAATTTCTCTTCCGTGTCAGTCTCTGAGCACCACGACTCATGCGTGAGATGCTGATGCAGGAGCCGGCCAATACCGGCATTCTGACGAAGAACCCAGAAGCGCTGCAGTGTGTTTACTACGTGAACAGTGTCAGAGAAGAAATTGTTGAATAAAGTCTTTTTTTCAGCACAAACAGTATTCCCGTCGCTTTATAACAATAAGGTTGAACCATTAGTCATATAGACTATTCAACGAATTCTCATCCCAAAGCGCCATATACAACGCTTTTGCAAAAGCGTAAATATCCAACGCACATGGCACCCTTTAACGTCTAATGAGACGCTTCGGTTATGGTTAAGTTTAGGTATGGTGTAGGGTAAGGGTTAGACCACTAGGGGGCGCCTTCTGCCCAAATATATCTGCGTCTCATTTCACGTTAAAGGGTGCCATGTGCGTTGGATATTTACGCTTTTGCAAAAGCGTCCTATATGGCGCTTTGGGATGAGAATGAGCTCGACTATTTTAACAATGTCTTTACTGCCTTTCTGGGCCTTACAATGTTGCTGTCTAGGGGGGTCAGAAAGCTCTCGGTTTCATCAAAAATAGGCTATCATCATTGTGTTGAAATTATGAATGAAGGTCTTACAGGTTTGGAATGACATGAGGGTGAGTAAATAATGGTTGGAGGTTGAGTCACATGTGAAATGATGACAGAATTTCCACTTTTGTGCGAACTATCTCTTTAAATTAAATTTAATTCCATTCAATCTTAAAGAACAACTTGTAACCAACATTTACCTTTAGGGTCTCTTTCTTTGTTTCCCTTTACTCCCCTTCTTCTACTACTTTGTCCTTCATCTAGGCATATTTCATTATTACAATGAAACTGCAACTCTAGAAATATGAAGTACTTCTTCCCATTTCTAAATCCCTGTCAGTACAGTTAACACAGTCTCATCCCAAAAAGTCATATAACTGACGTTTTGGGACGTATTTTGACCATACGTCAATATCCGCCTTTTTAGGGCCCCCTTAAACGTCGGTAGATGGCGATCCCGGGCCGTCATACAACTGACGCTTTACATTTAACGTCAGTTAGGTGACGGGTTAGGTTTAGGGTTAGGTTTAGGTATGGGGTAGAGTTAGGATCCCATAACCTCATCTACCGACGTTTAAGGGGGCCCTAAAAAGGCGAATATTGACGTATGGTCAAAAGACGTCCCAAAACGTCAGTTATATGACGTCTTGGGATGAGACCGGGTAGTCTTTGTGTTTAATGCAGCTCTTCTGTTCTTATGCCTGTATTGTCAAGCTGACATTGTGTTAAAGCTGAGGAAACACAAAAGTCTGATCTCAGAAAACCAGTTCATTCCAGTGAAAGGAAGTGTTAGTCACATACCCGGTATTTATTGCAAGCCACTTCACTTGACAAACAAATAAAAAAGCTTTGGCTTTGGCTAATTTAAAGATAAATTCTATAATTTCTGTGAAGCTCACCTAAAGCAAATAAGTTTCTCCAGGATATTACGCTGATAGGAGAAAGTCTTTAATTTTTTTTTTTTTTTTTTTTTTACAGTTATACACTTTTTTGTTTACCATCAGAATCACTTTCCATTCCAAAAGATTGGGTGTGAGAACGGCAGACAAAAATGTTCCCAGCTCTCAATTATTGCTAATTATTGTTAATTTGGGGCCAGATTGACAAAGAACCCTCTGTTCTTTAAGAGAACAGGGGATCAACTACAACTACACCTAACTATTGTGATTGCTTTGGCCTTGTGTGTGTTTTACGCCCAATTCAATATTTATTTATACACAAATCTCAGAATATTAAATACAAAACAAATCCCTGAATTTGGGGAACATGCATTGTGCGTTGACTTCCAGGTGCCGTCACACTGTGCTGACACAAGTGAGCAATTTCTGCTCTCTTTCTTTCTTTACCTCCCCTCTCTCATGTTTCAGCTCCAACAGGCTCATCTCTGCTCTGTATTTGCACTTCAGGTTTGACTGTTTATGTCAGCACAGCGGTATTATTAATCCAGAGCAAAGATGCTGGTCTGTTTCATAGACCTGTATATTACTGGAATGACCTTTCAAGGTCCATAAAATCAGAAATTATGCCCTATTTTGAATAAACTGTAATAAAAAAAACGAGAAAATGCATCTTTAATAAGAAGCTGGTGGTGAAAGATAGTCTTGTCATATTTTGCAGTGCATATGTTTCGCAAAGCATTAAAAGTAAATGTTATTGAGATAGAGAGAGAATATAAAATTAGTGTCATTTTAAATTGTAACACACCTTGACTTAGATAGGTATGCATCAGTCGAATATTGTTTTTAGCTGAGCATTCAACCACCACCACATGTATTAATGCTCACTTTGAGTGAATGTACTACCCACTATCCATGTGTGTACAATTTTACAGCATAGGCTATATGTTTACTATTACTTTTCATTGTTTCTATGAATGGTGGAAAATTATCTTTTTAAACTAGATTGAACAGTTTAAAAGAGAAACTGTTAGGCGGTTGCTTAATGCTGCTATGGATGGTTGCTAAAGTGTTGCTACGTTGCTGATGTTGCTATGCAGGGTCATCTCGGTAGATAGATGGATTGGATTATTTATGGATTATTACGGATTATTTGTTCGGAACGACTTGAGGGTGTGTAATTCTTGACAAAATTTTCCTTTTTTGGTAATTTATCCCTGAACAAGGACCGACCGTAGGGTCTGGCATGCGCTAACAGCGCCCCCCTTCTGCAGACAACAGGAAGAAAAGAAGGATGAGCTGATCTCTCTCTCTCTCTCTCTCTCTCTCTCTCTCTCTCTCACTCTCACTCTCTCTCTCTCTCTCTCTCTCTCTCTCTCTCTCTCTCTCTCTCTCTCTCTCTCTCTCTCTATTCAGATAGCTTTATTGGCATGAAAAAAATCCACAAATTAAAGGAACTGTATGTATTCATAGACATTTGAATTTGAATTCATAGTTGGCCTAATACAGTATTATTTTCTAAAATTGACTCTTATAATGTACATGATTACTAGCAAACAGCTTTCCATCTGTGATTGTGCATGTATCAGCCATTATGAAGAGTGACTTTATCAGTACAGCAGGTCAGAAGTGTGCAGGGGACTAAATGGGTCTTCTCAGTGGAAGGAATGTATCAATGATAAGGATGGACTCGGCTGTGCGGACAAACTGATGCTGTGAACAACCCAAGCCTTCACAGAAGAGTATGTGATGAGTCATTTTGGTTGCCTGGCTATAGAGGCGCAGGCTTTTCAGTTATCTCTGTCAGATGATGTTCCAGCAGAGAGAGAGACAGGGGGGCAGAGAGAGAGAGAGAGAAGCAGAAAGAGAGAGAGGCAGAGAGAGAGATAGTTTGACTTTTAGGTCTTCTTTAATCAATCAATAAATACAGAAAAGCCTCATTAAATAAAATAAATAAAAAAACAGAAAAAAAACATATGAGCCTACTTACATTATACATTAAATATGTTATTGCTGGTGTTTTTTTTCTCTTTAGAAATTGAACAGTAAACACTCAACATCACCAATACAATGATTTCTCCATATCATTGACCAATTTATAATATGTAAACTCAATTTCAATACAGGATTTTAATAACCCTTTTAACACAACATCAGTTGACCCAGCATCGATCAAGCGATGTTTTCTTGATAGCCATATCGCCAATTTTGCCTGCAAAAGAAAGTTTAACATGTTCTTCCCTCCTACTTTAATATACTTTGGTCCATATACTGACGTAAAAACTCCCCCTAACTTTTGAACCCACTCTAAGATTCCAAATAAGGATTGAAGTCTTTCACACTTTAAAAACAAATGTCATCCTCACTGCAAAATGGACAACCCATCCCTACCTCTCTGTGTCTTTAGCTATAATCAGCTATAATCTTTAGCTCAATGGGTAGCTTATACAGGGACCTCCGGCATCCTTTAGGGGATTCACCTGGCCCCAGAACCTCCATCTATTTGGACTCACTGACACTCTGCAGTGTGTTAAGATGTCACACTTTCACACACATAGTGTAAATGGCTTTCTTATCAGTGTCTCCAAAGGCGGCCACATAAGGTATCTTAAAAGACAGATTTTATTCAAAGTTTTAAAGCAAAACTTTTGTGGCTTATCCAACTTTTTAAAAATATTTTTAAGTGTTCAATCTTCATCATATTTGTCTGATTTAAAAACGTCTGATTTCTCACCTTTCTTAGGATCATTGAGACCCCACGAGGTGATATCTTGCATGGAGCCCCAGTCCAAGGGAGATTGACAGTTTAGCTTCTTCCATTTTCTAATGATTGCTCCAACAAGTGGACCTTTTTTCACCAAGCTGCTTGGCAATTTCCCCGTAGCCCTTTCAAATAAATAATTAAAAAATCATATATTGTGATTTCTGGATTTCTATTTTTTTTTGGATTATGTCTCTCACAGTGGACATGCACATACGATGACAATATCAGACCCCTCCATGATTTCTAAGTGGGAGAACTTGCAAAATAGCAGGGTGTTCAAATACTTATTTTCCTCACTGTAAATTCAGTTTGTCAAAGTCCATCAAAAACAAATGGCGATCCAGCCCCATGTTTCCAGCTCTTCTTAGGAGGGAGAGGGAGGGAAAGAGACCCATCATGAATGCCTGGGGGTGATTAAAGCTTTGCTCTTTAATTACATCAATGCAACCACCTGTAAGATTATTACAGACCAGTAGGTTGAGATTCAATGTGCATTTACATCAAATGCAAATAGCCAACCGTCCACTGGCCTACTACATTTTACCTTACTCCTATGCTAGTACAAATAACACATTGTGAATAGCATCTATAATTAGGCCATTTGTATTTTGTAAACTAGTTGTTATTTGTACCTTTGATAGCATTTACCTTCAACACTTTAGCTTTATCTTCAGTAGGTGTGTCGCCTGCATGAGGGACTTAAATAAGAGATAAAGAACAACAAATGTTAGTGAATATGTGTTGATTGATTAATGATTAAAACCAAATTATAGTGTTTCTTAGAGTATATAATATATTTTCTCCAAATATTTATCATGCACTATGTTTAGAGTGCTAATGATTTAATACGATGCAATAAAGGTCAACTTGTGATATTCGTATGTAAAACGCAGAAAGTTTGGTGAAATTATTTTCTGGTGAACAGCGCCATCAGCTGGTTTCGTGACAGTCCTACATGTGAAGTGCTCGGTGCTGCTTCCGCCATTTCAAACGCAACATCCGGTTGTGCAGCAGCCATTTTGTCTGTTCAGGCAAGTCCACCCCACACGGTCAAGAACTGACGTTCCCCCTTGGAAAATATTTCAGAAATATTACAGCCGACACTTTTCCATGTTATATACGGAAGTGGAAACGGGCTGAAAAAATACCTTATTGAATTCTACGCTCGAGAATACCTCTCGAAGGCCGATGTGTCTTGTTTTTTTTTGAGTGAGCGTCATTAATCGGGGTTATGTCGAGCGAGGAGAGTTATCTAGCCATCCAGCGCTACTTGACCGATGAACGGGAGCCTTACGCACCGGGCACGCACGGCAACACCAAGAGAAAGATCCGAAAAGCAGCTACTTGTTACATAGTGCGCAATGGGATTCTTTATTACCAGAGGCGACAGAAAGGTCTGGATGAATTCACGGAGCTGGAAGTGGTGCTGCAGGCCGAGAGGCGGAAGGAACTCATCACTGAGGCGCACATCACGTCCGGAGGGGAACACCTCAACCAGCAGCAGACATGGGAGATCATCTCCCAGAAATACTGGTGGAGAGGTACACTAATCACAACTTTAATGACCGCAAAGCTTTCCAACTCTGTGATGCTGTACGTGACAGCTGGTATCGCTTAAATGTTTCTTGTTAGTCTGTCACAGCAGGTGACAGGAAAGGAAGCTACAGCTGGATACAGTGGATAAGTGTCAATAATAAACATCATAGAAAAGATTATATTTTATGACGTGTTTACTGGCGCGAGGGATGGACAAACTCACTCATTACATCACACAGCCATAGCAGGCTAAACCACAATGATCAAACAATCCAAACAGTTCCCGATAAACAAAATCATCTCCCACCACATATATATATATTTTTTTTCTTTATTTTTTACTTTTGTCACTTTTTTATGTTGTAGTTGCTAACAGAGTTGTATACATTTGTACATATTTCCTTGTTTAAGCTGCAGTTTCACTCAGATGTACTTCATAATAGGGAAGGACAAATTGCAACTTCTGATTAATGCCAACTTTAAGAATCCTTGTATGTTTAGATATTAATAAGACTTTAACAAGATTAATAAGATCTTTGAGACAAATTCTGTTATTATATGTAGCCTAAACCTAGTCTTCTTATCACAGGTGTACTGAAGCAAGTGAAGGATTGCATAAAAGAGTGCAGTCACTGCCAAAGCAAGCAGGAGAAGGGGAGAGGCAATGCTGAAGATGCCACGAAACAAGCTGTCCGACAAGTTAGACGAAAGACCTCTGTCTATGCCAGCGAGGAAGAGGATGATGAGGCAAATGATGATTTGGATGAGGAACAGTCCAATTCAGCTGATAAACACGAACTGGTGTTTGTAAGTACAGAATGCCATTTGTGTCACTGAATATATCTATACAATTATTTATAAATATATTTGTAGATAAGTTGATGGATCTATTCTTTCATGCATGGTTATAGGTGGATAGTAAGGGAGTTGTCAAGCAGTTCTTACCAAAGCATGGGCAGACGATGCTGGACAGGTTGAACCAGCAGCGACTGAGAAATGAGTTTTGTGATATCACCCTGATCATTGAGGGTGAGGAGCATCGGGCACATAAAGCTGTACTGGCCTCCTGCAGTGATTATTTCTATGAGCTCTTTGTGGAAAAGGGTGCTGTGACCAGTCATGAAGCTGTCGTTGACCTCTCTGGTGAGAAGAATGCAGGATGCTGTTGATTGAAATGATGAAACATGAACAATTTATTGAGGTTTCATTTTATTCTCTGTCCCAAACCCTAGTGGGCTATTTTCACAGTCCTGTCTCCATAGACAGCATCCAAACCAAAATGTAACCTTAAAAGTAGTTTTGATTTATTTTTTTAAAAATACTTCCCTTGATCTGAGTGGTACAAGACTTGGCTACTTTTCCTAAGTTTTCCTCCTGAACACACATTTTTTTTTTGACTCAATTCTACAATGTTAAGTGGGTGAAAAAAAAATCCTTAATCTTGTATTTGGGTCAAAAATGGGCACCCATAGAAATGAATGGGAAAAAACTGTAATTAAGATAAGACATCAGGTGACAGCAAAGTCGCTTCATCTTTAGCTCTAAATACGTATTGGAATGATATTTTAATGTAGTTAAAAATTAAAAAAAAAACTTAAAGTAAATACATTCAAAAATACTCCCAAAATAAAAAAACACCATAAATTCTTGCAAATTCTTTTTAGTAATTAACAATAAATGCAATATATATATATATATATATATATATCATATATCGCCTGTCATAGCAAATAAATTATTTTACAGAACTGTTAAACAAATAGAGCTAGAAATCAGCAAATACTTATTCATATCATTTAAATAAGTTATTTTAATATCCAATAATATAAAAAAGTTTTTAATTCCATAAACCTCACAGATAATAACAAATCCTCTGTTGAATCCAGATCAAATACCAAATCCTTTGTATTATTTATTCCTTGTTTTAACCATTTTTTTTATTTGTGAAAAATACTGTTATGATGGTTATATAAATAATAAGTTGCTGTCTAAAGTATAAATCTTTTTTTTTTGTATTAATTGATCTTCAATTTATTTTCTAAATTTAGAAAATTATGTAAAATGAAATGCATTTGATTGAAGCACGTGTGTAATTTACTATCCTTAAATTAAATTATATGATATTATATATTTCGGCTTTATATCATCCATCACCCACCTTGCTCTCTAAGATAATACTCTCTAAGATAAGATATATTTAGAATCAAAAAAATATATTTCAGTCAAGCGCTAATGTCTAAACTGTTGCCTAGATAGGCAGCTTCCTACTAGTTTGTAACTTGTGTGAGAAAAAAAGAAAACTGCATGGATTTTGCAGAAGAACATTGTTTTTGTTTGTGCTTCGGCTCTGTGTGACTGCGGATGAATATTACTTTTACAATGAACTCTGCGAATGGCAATTTATCTGTTTAATAAATACCTTACTTGCCTGTTGAGAAATAAAAACGTAATCTCGGCATCGCATTTACTCAAAACATCGTATTTCAAAACACATGCATGCAATTTTCCTTAACAACCATGTCAAGTTGGTAAACTATAAACACTTATTATAGTCAATCAGGGTAAGACAAAAACATGTTTTGGAAGAAGGATTGATGATGTATTGACTGAATATATATGCATATTTTATTTATTCAAATCGTAATGGATTCTTTTGTGTTGTTTTACCTACCAGGCTTCAGCAAGGCCAGTTTTCTTCCCTTAATGGATTTTGCCTACACCTCCAATCTGACCTTTAACTTTTGTGTGATGGCAGAGGTAGCCACACTGGCACGGCACTTACTGATGGCTGAAGTGCTTCAGATCTGTGAATCTGTGCATAAGAAAGTAGAAGAACAGAAGCTGATGGTCTATCAGAGAGGAGACATCCACACTGTGGTGGCCAGCCCGCCTGCGCCCCCTCAGCCAGTCACACCCACCGCTTCCGAAACTTATGTGGTAACTATGCAGAGTGATGACACACCTGAAGCAGGACAGTCTCTAGCTGTACTTGCAAGTGAAATCGGGACGGCTGAATCGCTGGCTTTGCTTGCTGGCGCGACCATCGATGGCGAAACAATGACTGTAGTTACTCATAGTGGACAGGCTGGCTCAGCTGAGTCTCTCGCCATGGTGGCTCACAGCGGCCAGGCAGAGGAAGGTGAGACCATGACTTTGGTCACTCACTCCGGGCAAGCGGGTTCAGGTGAGTCCCTGGCTGTAGTACAGGCTTGTTGGTCTGTAGAGGAGCCACTGGTTGGTGACACTCCTGTTGCAGAGTGTATACAAACGGGAGCCTATCTAATTAGTGTGGATCCTGGCAAATTGGAGGCTTCTGATATTGTGCATCTAGCTGCGGCAGCGCCACCTGCTGTGCAGGATGAGCCCCAAGCTACTGAGCCCACACGCCAACCTGAGCCGGCCGCAGCAGCACCACAGCCAGCCCCTGCTCCGGTCAGGAGGAGGCCAGGAAGACCTCCTAAAGTGAAGCAGCCGGAACCACCACCACCTCTTCCTTTAGAGGAGGAGCCCATAGAGATGGAGGGGGTTGAGGATGGATCCGGTGCAGATGAAGAGAGAAAAGAAGAGGAATGCAAAGATCCCAACAAGAGATACCTCAGAAAACGATCAGTGAAAGAAGGAGGGTACATTCGTCTTCATATGGGGCTTGAGACCGAGGAGGAAGAGAGAAGCACCTCACCCCCTGCAAAGGTAGGCACTCCCATTCACTCCACATAATTCATCTGTGAATGTGACGATGGCCTTGTCCCAGATGATGCCCTTTTGAACATGGCACATTTGTAAGGCCCACCCACCACAGGGTCGCCCATCTGGCTCAAAAGTGTGCCTACTATGTGGCCTTGATGCACCCTTGTGTGAAGCATGTATTGGTTTCTTGATATCATGTTCATAGAAGTAAAATGTTAGTACTTTTTACACATTACATTTACACCACAAATGTAAACCTTACTTAAAAATGGTATAAATATTTTTCAAAATCCCATAAAATCAGCATGAATACATTAAAAATGGAAGAGTACAGCCAAAATATTGGCACATGCATTTTAAACTAGATTTAAAAAAATCATACACACTATTATTTGTCATTGACAGCCAATATGCTGTAATTGTTCAATGAGCCAACGATTGGATACAAAATAAAATTCACCCTGATTGTCTTATTAAAATCGTACTGTATCCCCAGACACCTCAGAGACTTGCCAGGAGAGGTCGACCGGTTCAGTCTGTGAAGAAAAATCCTGATGAGATTTCAGAGTCAAACACAGAGGCTGCTCCTGATGGCGTAGCACCTTTAGCAGAGGAACTGGAGCCTGTTGTCGACCAGCCAGAGACTCTGGAGGAGGAGGGCACACTGCCGGGAGACCCAGGAGATGTTGTGGAAGGTGAACATGCGTGTAATGAGTGTGGCATGGTGTTCCAGAGGCGGTACGCCCTCATCATGCACGCTCTGAAACATGAGAAGGCTCGCAGCTTCAAGTGCAGTGTATGTATCCTTGGGCTAAATAAAAAGGAATTCTTGCCTGATCTTTATGCATTTTGGTTATTTTTCCTGACCTTTTTTTTGTCCTCGCAGATTTGTAATAAGGAGTTTCAGTACGCAGCCTCACTCCGTGCACATTTGGCCCGTCACAAGCATCAGAAGACCCAGAGAGTCAGCATGACACGGGCCATTGCCACTGAAGATTCTCAGGGGTCCGAAGAACAGGCGAAGTACCGCACCAAACGGGAGTTTGTGTGCGATATCTGTGGCAAGACTCTGCCCAAATTGTACTCCCTCCGCATTCACATGCTGAACCATACAGGGGTGAGGCCGCACACCTGTAAGATTTGTGGGAAAAGCTTTGCCACCAAGCACAGCCTAAAGATGCACCGGGCGCTGCACGACTCCCTCAAGAGATTTCAGTGCACTGTGTGTGAAAAGTCTTTTGTCACCAAAAGAAGCCTAGAGGAGCATACAAGCATTCACACAGGTACACACACATTTTGCTTGTGCCCGGCTAAGACTAATCCTTAAATATGCAGGCATTTAAATCGGTATTATGTGATTAGTATTAACTATAGGAGTTATGATGAAGCATTTGCATTATAAAATTATTTTATATAATTGTTATAATTGTATAATTGTAACATAATATAATTGTATTTTATATAAACCGCCTGTGTTACAGAAATAGTGTTTAAAGAATAATGTTTTACTAGGAAAAAAAGTTGGTAATTTGGACTAATGTCTGGTGGTAAAATATGGTCTAGACACACAAGTACAGATATCAAATCCAAAGCTCAAATTGCTTTTGAAAATTCTGCTATATATATATATATATATATATATATATGTGTGTGTGTGTATATATATATATATATATATGTGTGTGTGTGTATATATATATATTTATATATATTTAGAGAGAGAGAGAAAATTTTGCTATTTATTTATTTATTTATTTGCTATATACGTTGCATGCTATATAAATGCTGTCCATTTACCATACACACACACACACATATATATATATATATATATATATATATATATATATATATATATATATAATAAATGTTCTTATAGTAAGATATATATTTTTTAAATTTTTTTTTTTTGAAAAAGTCTACTAAATCTAGATTCCAGCATAAACACTTTCATTTGCTCCAATTACTGGTCAGTGTGGTTTTGAAAGTATGAATCGAATTAGTGGATTCAGTATTCAACATTTGAAGTAGATCAAAAAAAGTAATCAAAGTTGTCCTAAGATAATGTATAACTTTGATAAAAGGTTTTGATCCACTTCTTAATTTGACTATTGTAAATTCCCTAAGCAAATATTTACTGTTTTAGTATTAATGTTGTCATTAACATTATGATAGTGCTAAATGAACAGTCCATAATAGCAGTTTGTTTGACAGGTGAATCAAAGTACTTATGCACAACCTGTGGAGCATCTTTTCACCGTGCATCCGGACTGAGCAAACACCTCAAGAAACATCAACCCAAACCTGATGTCCGCTCATTCCACTGTACTCAGTGAGTGCCTTTTCCCTCGATGCATGCACACAACTGCTTTCTGTGAACCCCTCGATTAAACTTTTATTCACGTATCTTCCCACATAATGGTTTGACACCTTTTGTTCTTTCATTATAGCTGTGATAAGAGTTTCTTTGAAGCGAAAGACCTGCAGCAGCACATGAATAAGCACTTAGGCCTAAAGCCCTTCCAGTGTCAGGTCTGTGGGAAATGTTACAGCTGGAAGAAAGACTGGTACTCGCACGTCAAATCGCACACTGTTGCAGAGCCCTTCAGGTGAGGGTGAAAAATAAAGTGTTTTTTTTTTTTGTGAAACGTATTTAAAAAATTGCTCAACAAAAAGGGCCTGTTCTAGTAATTATATTAATCTATTATATGATATCTGTACTCTGTGGCTCAAGCACTTGTTAGAAGTAGACGGTGAACTATATTGTGTGTTTTGACCTTTTGGCAGGTGTAATGTGTGTGGGAAGGAGTTCTTTGAGAAGGCGCTTTTCAGACGGCATGTCAAGAAAGCCACTCATGGAAAGAAGGGCAGAGTGAAGCAGAACTTGGAGAGAGAGTGTGAACACTGTGGGAGGAAGTTCACACAGCTCAGAGAGTACCGCCGCCACATGAATAATCACCAGGGTTAGTGGAGACTCGTACATAAAAACACCTAGAGTGATAATAAATCATTTATATGCAGATTCAGGAACTGTTTCACCCAAAACAAAAACAAAAATGTAGTTTCACCACAATAACTCTGGCAACAGTATGACTTTATCGATAGCTGCGATTACATGGACCCTAATAATCTCATTGTGATCAGATTATTAGCACAGTCGGAATAAAATAGTCACATGTAAGTCGGAATGAATTGCCCAAATCCGAATAAAATTTCATTCGGACTGTAAGAGGGGTTTAAATCTTTTCTAATCTGATTGAGAGGACATGTATCTGATTTAAAACTGAAACGTAGAGACGTATGATGGGAGGAACGAGCTCTTGTAGTTGTGTCATAAATGACTGTCGTGTCATTCTAAAATTCTCCTTCCACTCGTTGTCTGTGAAGTGGATCAGGACAGCATCTCACCAGTCCTTGTTTCAGACTCTCATCCACAGAAGCCTTGTTTTGGGTGCGGGAAAGGGCGTTTTTACTGCATATAAGCAGCATGGCATAATGAAGCATGACTTCATTGGTTTTCTTAGTTCCCCACCACAAATATAACATTAATTTCTCCACTATTTGTAATACTAATATGTCACGCTGTGACATACACACATACATATTTATATATCCGTGTGTGTGTGCATGCATAGCTACTTCAGGAAGATAAAAAAGGATTCTTCTTTTATAACAAATTTATTTTTGTCAAAAAACAAAAACAAGCCTATAGTCCCAGACTAAACCGCATGTTTTAATTGAAAGCAACTTGCGCTAACGTATCTTAAAATCAGTGCCATTTTTGTGTCTCAAGATGCACACCAATGTTTTCTTCAAAAGCACTAAAAGCCACTAAAATGTCCTAAGTAAATAATCTAAGCGTTATCTGTGAAACCTGTAGCCTATACCATTAAGCCGGTTTAGGTGAACTCAAGATTGTACTCCTGATTGAATTGGTTTAGTTTTGTCAACTTGAAATGAATCCTGTAACCCTTTAATCCGGTTTGTTCAACTACCATCATGGTATAGGCTCAGGCCAATATTTGTTTTGAAAAGATTTCTCTAATCTGCACACCTGCAATGTGGCTGTAGGTGGTGCTGCATGTCAGTCTTGATGATATGTTCAGCCTAAAAGACATCCTACACATTTTCATGCTTGTATTTGGTTTTACAGGCAACTGCATATAAATAGCTGAGTAAAACAGATGTCATGCTGGTCTTTTTTTTTTTTTTTTCAGGAGTGAAGCCCTTTGAGTGTCTGACCTGTGGCGTCGCATGGGCTGATGCTCGTTCACTGAAGCGGCACGTTCGCACTCACACAGGCGAGCGCCCTTACGTGTGCCCGTTGTGCCAGGAGGCCCACATAGACGCCAGAACACTGCGGAAGCACATAACCAAGTTCCACGGAGATCAGTTGCCCGGCAAGATCATGCTGGAGAAGGACACTCTGCAGTTCCACAACCAGGGCACGCAGGTGGAGCACGCCGTCAGCATCCTCAGCTCTGAGCTGCCCCCTGAACTCCAGCCTCCACAGCCTCCTGTCACAGAGGAGATAGAGACCGTGCTCATCACTGAGGAAACCGTGGAGGCCGTGCAGGCTGTGAGTGACGGCTCCGTGGCCACGTTGTCCGATCAGAGTATAATGCAGGTGGTGAACTACGTCCTGGCACAGCAAGCTTCAGTCAAGGTGGAAGATGCACCAGAGATCATCCAGACCATGGAAGTGGAGGTGGCCCATGTGGCAGAGGTGGAATGAGACACAATTTCTCAGATCTGTCGACTGCATCGTAGTGACTTGGCAGTAAAAGGAATATGAATAAGGGCAGGCTTATTCTTTTGTGTTGTCAAATGCACCTTGTGTGATGATGTAAAAAGTGCTCATTTATTTTTGATGTAAAATGTAAATTAAAATAAGCTTAAAAGACTCGAGTTTGCTGACATCCCCCTTCTCACAGGTGTCTGTCTGTGTTTGTGTGAGTGTGAGAATCAGTGCATGCTGTGTATGTGTGAATATGCTTGATTTACATGATATGTAAGCTTCTGTATACACTTGTACATAAACAGAATAATTTGCATTGTAATAGTTATTATCAAGCATACAACAAGCAGATAGATCCCAGAATAAATGTTTGACTTTTTTTGGAACTAGGTTACGTTTTTCTCATTATTAAGGCTTTGTTTTTCTTTCTTTTTGATAATTTGTACATAATATATATATAAGCTCTAACAGTCTTAGCAAAAGGGCCATAGGTTCTGTCTGTGGTATAATGCGGTGCCTCTCGGTCTCAGCCGAGTACTGTGTATATAGCAGCAGAAATGACAACCAAATAAAAAACTCTGTCTACAGGGATTCACCATGTGCTCTATTTCTTTTCTCTTTTCTCTTTTGTTTTCATTTTTTCTCTGTCATGGAAGTGAAAATGAAAATGTATAAAATCCATATGCACCACGAGTACGAGCATCCCAAGATTGGTGAGATCTGCCCTTGTAAAAATGTACTATTATTAGAATTGTTAGAATATGTGTGGATGCTTCATAGATTGAGATTAAATCTATTGGTATGTTAGTTAAAGTTTCTAAATGTGTTCTGGTTACCACTTTTCTTAACATGCAACATTGCATTAGAAGCTATAGTAATATTGCTTTCGTCAGACATGGTTTTAACTTTGCACTCTGATTTTATTTATTTTTTTAATTTACAAGTAAATGTTATGGCCTGAACTTCAGTCTAAGTTCAATCATTTTAATTGTCTGTCATTAGAATGTTAATGTACTAACTGGAGCTGTATTTGTTACTCTATTACAAATAACACAGTTGAGTGTTGGGAGATGATGATGAAGATGTATGAGATGATGTTAACACATTTGTTTCAATTTTAATAGATATATAATCCAGTGTTAATAATTTGAAATATAAAACAAGCTAATTCATACTTTTTACATCTAAAAATATACCTTAATTTTATTAAAAAAAAAATCACAACTTTTTATGGTAAGAGGTTGGTTACTACAGTTGGTTCACCAATGCCACAATTAAATGATGACTATGGTTCTAATTAGGATTAGTTATTTGAATTTATTTTTTATTACAGTCGGTGACAAGCCCCAAAAGTAAATTCCCAAGAGTAGCCTATTCTATTTAGTGTCATACCAGCTCGTGTTTATCCATTGTAAAATGTTTAGAAAAGCGAGCTTTTAGTGCAGCAAACAGAGTTTCACACACTGGTCTGTTTCTAATCACGAGTCCACATGCGTGCACATTATCCGGAGATAAGGGAAACGACACTGAAATCACCTAAGCACCAATCTAGATGTCCACAAACTTCCTCAGGCTTCAACAGATTGTTGTGATAAAATGACAGAATAGTTGTTGATGAACGCGAGCTCGTCAGTTGATGTGCGCGCATGTTGCTCATCGCGCGTGAGGTGCGGCGCCTGAGTGAGTGAGGAGCATCACATACTCTTCACCATCCTCTTTCCTTCATGGCGAGAAAGACATTGGCTTGGTAAAGGACATTTGTCGTTGTAATGTGTGCTTTATATAATTTAAATGGCTTTGACCGTGCACTAATGATGTATGTCGTAGGTTAGCGCTGTGAGATGTGGTGTTTCAATCATGGCAAGGGGTCTGATACCATGGATCTGGCTGAAGCGACCCGTCTATATCCAGGTAAGACGCCAAATAAGCATCGCATGTAACTTGTTTATAAATCGTACCGAGTGTTTCGTTTTACTAGCCATTTGTGTACTTGGAATAAATAGTGTGTGAGAGATTTGAAGGGACGAGGTGGACGCTGTTATCCCGTTTGGACTCTGAAGTTTCATCTCTTAAGCGTCACTCTATCTAACTAGCTTTAATAGCGACTAATCGAGCGGCACATCTGCGACTCTTTTCAACCATTTTCTTCGACCTTTATCCATTAACCTCATTGTAATATCTTACTAAAACAGCGAAATGGAATTTCCGCAACTGAATCCGTTGCGTTTCTCCTGTGATTTAATGAATACGATGGATTAAACGGATGTTGCTGCGTTTTATTCATCATCTGGTCGGTCGTTGCTGTAGCAACCGTGCTGCTGTATAACATTTTTATAGTCCTGCTGAAAACATTTCTCCTACATGTCAGAAACGTAATTCAAAATATAGCTATTCTAAACCATGAATTCCCAAACTCATTGAGCGCCATGCGTCAAAGATTGACGACCTCATTTTACACTTCTATTAATAATGAGCAACGTCGATACAAGCTCATATATATTCAACTCAAGAGAATAATAGGCCTAAACCTAGTTTCATTACTACAGACTTTTTCAGGGATTTTTTATTTTTATTTGGGAGTCTTCAATGCTTCTGCAAAGTTATGTTCCCCTGAAATAGACTATTAAAAATAAATAACACACTGCGCTGTTCGGTCATTTTTCACCAATTTTTTACTTCAGTGGTATAAAACTTGGTAAAGGTCACAAAACAGTCACTCTTAGTCTTGCACTTGTAAAAAACAACCACATTGGAAACGAATGCCAAGTGAATTCATAAATGGAAACGTTACTGCACCCAAACAAAATCTTACTGAAAGCTAATATTTTTGAGATATCAACCTCTATTTGGAACACAACAGCTTTCACATACAGGGCGGCTTAGATTAAGCCAGGCCCGAGTTTATATAATAGCTTTTATAAACATGCCTAAGGTAGAGAAACATTATATGTGCATCTTGAGCCAAAACAATGGCACTGACATATTTCAATATTGTCAGTTAGCTTTCAGTTAAAATAGCTCAAACATGCATTTTAGTCTCTAAGCTTAAGCTTGTCGGTGAAACTGTGGAACTTGTTTAGAAAATGGCTTTGATTTTCTCACAGTTTTAGAGTAAAACTTGTTTTAATTGGATATATAAAATTAAATTTCATATATTTTTTTAAAGTATTTTTTATGCATTTTTCATCGTAATAAATTTCATTCACATCAGCAATAATCAGCCATGTGTTTTCTTTAAAAAGAGACCAAACTTAAGTCTGTGATCCAAAACATTCAAAGCATTCTTTTTATATTTGATAATACAGAGCTGTTCCCATATAGGCCCATGTGCCTATAAGCTAAGAGCTTTTTATGCATTGTACACCAATGCAGAATTGTAGGCCTACATAAATTGGACCAATACCACAGATTTAAAATGAGCGGAGTTGGCTGTCTTAAGTATTTTACTTAAGAAATGCTATCGCTTTCACTGCATCATAAAACCAACTTATTTTTGCTTCATTAAGTTAGATTTTTTTTCTTTATTTCTTTTATTGACAGCAAAGTCTTTTAAATCATGTAGATCCTCTGTTTGAAGAACACAGTGTGGCACTATGAGTGTCGTCATTACTAATCAGAAAAAAATGAACACAAACTTTAACACATTTTATTTTTGGGGTTTTCTTTCTCATTCCTTGGTTACCTCACACTTCAGTGTGCGAATAGCTCATAACTCAGACAAATTCTGTTTTGTTTGTGTGAAATAAACATACTTTAGTTAAGAAGTCTTGTAGCTCCGCCCCTTTTCAGCGCTGCGCTCGTTGTCTTTTATCTTCCAGTCTGTATTTTTACAGCGATCATTTTAAAATCTTCCCGGTCTACTGACATTTGTTAAGATATCTGCTTTAAACATTACAATCCTCACGATAACTTTCGTTAACTAAATCCATTTTTTTTTCTTAATTAATTTCATTAAGTAAATCCACTTAATTACTCCTGGACAGCAATGCCATAGAGATATAGCCTACAGAGCGACCACAAAAACGGAAGTTCAAAGACAATATTCTAAAGATGTCTGCACGCTTGTTTCTCTGGCACATAAGGTCTATAAGGTGAAACCTGTGGTGGCAGGTATAGGCTAATCCTTGATTTAGTTCTTTTACTGTACATTCCTCAAAATGAAGGCAATGGCATCAGTGTTGTGGTTGGAGGGATGAGTGGTTCAGACTGACGGCAGCTCTACTTTGAGCATTTTGTTTATTTTCTGAAGACTGTAATCCTGCATGCTTCGGAGTCTGGCTTACTGTCTGGTGTTTGCTTGCTCAAAGTAAAAGATTGATGGAGAGAACATGAATGTGAGATATGTGCTTTTTAGTGAGCAAAGTGAATCTTAGAAGTAGATATTAACCACTTTGCACTGGTCCTTGTACACTATTTTAGTTTGAAGGAAAGGTGGCTGTCCCCTGTGAACAAGACTTCACCTACATTTTCTTCTTTACTCTGCAGGGGCAGATTTAATTTTTTGGAAAATGTAAGAGCCATATCATATTATAAATCTGTTCATATGCCCAAAGGATCTGATGTAATACTTAGACCTCTGGAGCCACTATTCTCTCTAAATGGACAAACTAGAAATCATCATTTTATCTACATAACGCATTCTGTTTAGAGGTCATGTACTCAGAGACTTTATTATAAAATATCAGCTTTATGCTCTTAAACATTATATGGAAGGAATTAGTAGAACTTGCCTCATAAAATTCACAAGGTTACTGAGACTAAATGCTTCAGGACACAATAGTAAGCTTGTTCAGGAGGTGAGTTTCTCTGTAATGTTCTACAATTCTCTCAGCCAGAGGCATGATTCACATATTTCAGATACAGCATTTGCACAAAGCCGTAGTGATACAGCTGAATATAATATAAGTGAACACAGGTTTTTGGCTGTGCGGTTTATTAGGATTCTCAATTTAGTAATTAAATATAGACATCTGCATTTTTACTGAAATAGATAGGTCAGGGACTTGATGCTATTTGTCTAAATTTATTAATTTCTTCAGAAATACATTTAATAATAATAATAATAATAATAAACAGCTGCAAGCAGCGATGAAGGTGCCAAGCACAAAGAAGGCACGATAAGTCATGCCATCACGGCTGGGCGCATCAGACCAACTGCAACAATGAGCAATTAAAAACATATTACTATTTTAGGCAAAATAAAAGTTTATTTGTTGGCATTCATGTGCATTCAACTTAAAAATGATCTGTCTGATATGACCTGAACGTACCAATATTTCTCAGGACCTGTTTACACTGTAATTTGTCGTGTAATTAAGTAATATATATATAAATATAACTAAAATGAATAAAAATCCAATCTTTAATTCCCACACTATACGTACATTTTGGCATGCTCTTCATCAAATTTGTTTGCATATTTTTTGCGAATGGTTTGACTAATCAATTTCCATATCTTTGTCGGCATGGTCTGAAGATGATCTGGTTCAATTTTCTTGAAAATCAGAGCAATGGCCTATAGGAGGAGTTAGAAAAAGTATGTTTTTTTTTTTTTTTTGCTGAAAATTGGCTGAAAAAAAAAAGACTGGGTTCTGTCTGTG